GTCATTAATGAATCACTTTTTTGAGTCAGATATTATTGCAAAGTGGTAAAGCGAGTCTTCTGGAGAATTTTCTAAACATTTCTATCAAGTTTTGCCTCCGTAAATCCACTGTTTTGATTAATAAGCATCAGCTTTATTGAATCAATAACAGAATAGCCTGTCTTTGCACTTTTTTTTAGTATTGCTATTTTATATTTTCTCTTTAGTTCTTCTAAATAGTTCATAAATTCAATCTCATTTTTCTGATATCCGGTCTGAGAGAGTTAATCAATGGAAAATTGTTGATGATAGTCCATTGTTGCTGCATCATCCTGTTTTCTAAAGTAAATATTGCCACCTTTTATAATTTTAGAACCATCATTTGCTTCCGAAGAGTCCATAAAGTAGTCTGCTATCTCCAATTTCTGCATTCCCCTTGTTAAGTCTTTCTAACCATCAATCTAAGAATTTAAATGTTCAATCAATTCAAAAAAAGGTATGTGCCAAGTAGGTATTCTCATTGCACCCATATCACTGTATTCACTTGGAAATTTTTTATCAAAATATTGAGTTAGTATTCTCCCACCAATTTGCTGTTGTTCCAAGATTTCATATGTTATTTTTTATTTTTACACATTTTCTCTTGCATAATCCTCCAGCAATAATGCTGCATACAGGCCAGCTATTCCTCCACCGATTATTCCAATATGAAAGTCTTAATCTCCTGAGTCTGGTTTAAAGTGGGAACCTAATAGTCTTAGATTTTTTATTGCTTTCATTTAAATTCGAAATTCAAAGTAACTTATTTTCTAAAGTTATTAGTATTAAATATTAAAAATGGAATCTAAAAAACCAGCGACCTCTATCCCTCTAAAGGATTAAGGGGGTAAAGCAAAAATAGATTTAGCTTAATCGACTAAAAGTTTTGCCAATACATTTACTGAAGATCTGTATGATGTAATTATTATTGGTGGGGGTCCCATTGGTTTATCTGCTGCTCATAATTCTTCAAAATTAGGCAAAAAGGTTCTATTATTGGAAAGATATAACTTCTTTAATTAAAATGGAAGCTCTAATGACTTTGTAAGGCTGTTTAGAACAATGTACAAAGAAGATTACCTGGCTGATTTAGCTAAAGAGGCTCTTGATCTTTGGAAGGAGCTCCAAAAAGAGTCAGGAGAAGAATTGATATGGATGACTGGATTATTGAATTTTGGTGATCCAACTTATGAGGACGGACCTGAAGGTAACCTAATGGATCCAGTTAACAATCTTAAGCGTTTAAATATGCCCTATAGGGTCCTTACACCTGCTTAAATAATGGAAGAATTTCCTTTTAAAGACTTACCAGATAATTTTGTGGGAATTTGGGCTTAAGACAACGGCTGCATAAATGTTCCCAGCGTTCTGAGAACGCTTTATCGTTTGGCTTTAGCTTATGGAGCAAAATTGGTGTAGCATGCATAGGTCATTGATATGAAGGTTGGTGAAAATTTGGTCGAAGTTAAAGTGGCTAATGGAACTAGTTATAAAGCAAAGAAATGCATTGTTACTGCTGGAGCGTACACAAATAATATTCTGAGCTCCGTTGGTGTGGAGTTAAATCTTAAAATATGGGAAATGGTTTATTCCTACTTTTCTACCAACCCAGGACCTAAAGGAACATTTTTCCCAAGTGCATGGTTCTAATTTTAGGATCCAACAGGGGGGGATCCTGCTAAATCTAATTTACTTTATGGGTTTCCTTCATTACCATGGATGCCACCTAATTTAGTTCGAATTGCTGTAGACAATGCTGTCAATATTATTGATGATCCTAAAAAGAGATTGATTATTCCTTCTGATAATGATGTGCAAATTGCTGCTGATTATATAGAAAAGCATTGCGTTGGCGTTGATAATGTCCCTAATTTCAGTGGTAGCTGCTTAATGACAAATGCAATTGATAACAATTTTATTTTAGATTCACTACCTTCATCTGTGGGTCCTGGACATAAAAATGTAGTTATTTTTACTGCAGGTTGGGCTTTCAAGTTTACCCCTTTGCTTGGAAAAATTTTAACAGAATTGACTTTTGATGGGAAAACACCACACAATATTTCTAATTTTAAAATTACTCGACCTGGAGTACTAAAAACAGATTTCGCAAAATTATGAAGCTCGTTTTTCTGCAAAGTCAGCAAGACAAACCTGAATTTATATAGGCATCAAGCACTTAAATTTAGATTAATTAATTAATTCATTCGTATTGGGGGTTTAGTATTATTTTTATCTTCACTTCAACTTCACCTTCATTAGAAATTCTGGTATCGTAAAGTGCGAATGTGTTCGTTGTAAGGAATATTGTGCTCCTGGGAGCACAGAAGAGCACATCAGAGCATTATTTCTATTTTTCCCGGACACATCATATAGTATTTCCATTGGGTCTAGTAGTAATTCAACCTAATCCACTATTTCCACTTACATTCCTCCAATAGAAATGGGGGTTTAGTATTAGAGGGTAGGGTAGGTGCATAATTTTTCTCTTCTCAGCAACCGCAATTTTCTTGCATATTCTACGCTATTGATAACCTAAATTTGCTGCCCGTTTGCTGTTAGTTGCCGTCCATCTTCATTAAAAAAATTTAGAGCAAAAGTTTGGGCTTTATGTCTTCAAAATCTTCCCTTTTTGTCCTTCATCTTTCAAAAAGGTTTGGTAATACTATATGATAAGCTATACCTCTATGCTAAATCTCTTCAGTTAATAGTAAAATTACTTATTGTAACAGCGAGTTGGATCATAGCTATGAGCATATTTTAACTTTATTGACTTCATATTCGTTTCTTCCTGAGCCATTTTTTGCAATGTTTTCTTTCGGCTTCTCCAAATATGGTTGATGGCCACTATAATGTTCAGCAACCACAAATTTCTCGACGGCAACTGAGCAAATCAACTATGAAGAGTAGTAATATAAAAAAGAGAGAAAGTTGGACCTACCCTCTACTACTAAATCCCAAGATGTTGCAAAAAGGAATCTTGTACTAAGCTAAAATCTCAAACCATGAGACAAGGCTCTGCTGCTCCTATTTTTTGAAGTCTTTACCCATCGAGAAAACTATTGTCACATAGCAAAATTAATTTTAAAGTGAGTCGGCTGCTGTTTGGTCCTTTGAAGATTATTAAAATGTTGATCAAATCATAAACTCTGTATGATTTATTAAACAAATTCCTTTAGCACAAACAGTTAGTTTCAGTATCCTCTTACTCAACAATAGGTATTTTTGTTCTTGTGAGCTCGAATACTTCAAGTTGATATGCCAATAGAACCTTTAGTGAATAATAATCATAATACAAAAGTGATATTCTTGGTGACCTTCGTCTTTAGCAATGCCTCATCTAGCTTTAGCGCTTCAACTAGCTTTAGGGCTTCAACTTTATTTCCTGAATGACCAGCTAATATGATCAATAACTTAAAGTAGACTTTTAATAGCCCTTTTATTCTTAATTCTTATTCTTTATTCTTTACTCTTTATTCTATCGACTATCCTCTATCTTGTTGTACTCGGGGTTTAGCATTAGAGGGTAGGGCATGGTTAAATTTTTATTCTCAGAGTTGAGTGTTGGCACACACTCACGGAAATTTATTGGGTTATATCAAATATAAGGTCTCTAAGTGGATGCTGATGTGGTGAAGCCTAAAACCAACTTTCCCTTCAACAATAATATTTATAAGCCTTAAGTTTTATGTTCACCAGGCTAAAATCTCGAATCGCCAGAGTAGGCTGCACTTGCTCCAAATTTTCTAAAAATTGCACCATAATAATTATTTTTTGAAATTAGGTTTAGGGTATCTTGGCTGCTGTCGACCCGAAACCTCCAGCAAAAGATTTTTATTAATTTTTTAACTTTATCAAAGGAATTAATTAAGGTTTCATATTAAATTAAGAAATTTTAATCAAGTTCAATACTAATCTTGACCTTTTTAACCCATAACAACACGACAAGCCTAGGTCCTTTAAAAAAGCTTAGAAATCATTACCTGTTATTAATTAGAGCTTCTAATTAAATACAGATATCATATAAGTTGATATAAGATTGCATGCATAATTGCAAACTCCAAAATTATTATTTTAAGCAAATTTAAATATTATAATTTTCAATTAACTCAACAGCCTTAAATATGTGTAAGAGGGGTTTTGGGGTTTTGGGGTTTTGGGG